GGCAGAATCCCCTCCCTCCCCCTGCCGACCCGTGTGTCAGACGAGGCTCGGCTAACGGGCCGCAAGTCTCCCACGGCCCCTACCTGCCCTCAGGACAGCTCACCACAGGCTGCCAAGGCCGCAGAAACCAGCTTCAGTTCTCAGGGAAGGTCAGGCACGTGGAGGAGCCACAGAGCAAGGACAAGGCCCTGTGCTACACACACCGAACATGGCTCACACCCACCCTTCGCACTCCTCCCGGCTGAGGAACAACGCCGCAACCGCGGGGGACTCCAACCGCGGGGACAGCATGAACTACCCTGATGAGCAACAGCGACACTGCAGGCACACGTGTCTTCACTGAGCGGGGACCAGTACAGCACGGTTTTACATGGCAGATTTCCATGAAAATCTACAAGAAAACGGAACCATGGCTTTGGGACAGCGTAACGCACCGAGCAGAACTCCAATGACAAATCCTTAGGCAACAGATGGCTGCTTCTGCCCCCGTTCTGCACCGGCCGGCGCGGTCTGGCGGGGAGGTAAACGTCGCACCCAACAGCGACCAACGTTCACACGGCTTCCGGCTGGTCCGGAACAGGGGCAGAGATGATGCTTTTCCACTCCCCAAAAACACTGGTTACACACTGTCTCACGCATTTTTATTCACTAGACATGAAAAAATAAAGGAAGTGTGAATGTTTTTCCTCCACCGGACACCACGTCCAAATTTCGGTACGTGAAGTATGCGACGCTCAAACACAGCGAGTAGAAAACAACCGCGCTGCAGGTACCCGGAGTGACCGCCGCCATTCCCCGTCTCACCCCAGTCGAGCACTAGGAGCGGGGTCTGCTCCTGTCGCTCCCACCAACCTCGGCACAAACCCGAAACGCGAGGATCTGGGTGCCACAAAGTCAGCCCGGCAGCACCACCCTGCCTCGGCGAGACAGCTGTGCCACAGCTTACCCGTTCCGTCTCCACCGCCGGGAACGGGCCGTGGACTGAGCCACCGGCGCGGCCGGATCCTTTTGAAAGGCCATTCCCTTCCTGCAGTTCGTACGAGGCACTTCCATATAAACACAGAGCTCTGCGTTTGTCCTAGTGAGAAGCAGCCTGGCGACCATGTGATGGAGTCAGGCTCCTCCACACATTCCCAGAGGGAGACGGGGGCAACAAGCCGTGTACGACATCGACAGGTGTGAGGATCTACCAAACCACGCTTACTCCTTCCCTAGAGAAGTACGAGAAATCCCCGTGGAAGGGAGACTGGTTGCGATACTCCACTCACCCAAATCCGCCCTGGAGACGGGGTGGAACTCTGGGAGGTGTGAACACTCGGCTGCTCGGCCTGTCCGGAAGGGTCCTGCCAGCAACGGGCGCGTGGTTACGCAGCGCTTCCCAGGCGACCCCTGACACACGGAGCAGCCACGTCCAGTTGGGGGGATTTAACCTTCCCAGGTTTTACATTTATTTAGTTCTAACAAGAAGATCGACAGAGTCAAAGCACATCAAATGAGAAAGTTGTACTTCCTTGGGAATTCCTATGCTCACTTCCAGAACTCAGGGGCAGCACTTGCCAACAGTTTTCCAGAACCATCCCTTTATTTTGGCGGGTCGGTATTAATGCCGTATTTTTCCTTAAGAAGCTTAAGCTGTTCCTCTTTCTTCTTTGTGTCCATCTTCTGGAATGCCTGTAATCAGGAAGAGAAAAAGACGTGGGAATAAACAAACCAAACCCCGTGACACGTTACTTCCCCGGAACCACAACAAACATCGCTACGAACTACACCGGTTCTCGACCTCGGAGACCGTCACCGCACCACCCTCAGCAGAACATCAGCGCCCGGAGACTCTTCACCCACGAACGAGCCCTCCCGCCCTGCGGTGACCGTGCCAGGCCCCTGCGTCCTCGTCTCCAAAGCACGCTCAGCAGAAACGTGGTTTTTGCACACCCGTGAGCCAAAAGTACGTTTCTGTACCCAAATCCCCAAGTAAAGGTGAAAACCTGACAGTTTATCCAATCCGCTCCCTCTACCAGCTTGGATTTGTTTCTTAAAAACCCTCAAGCAACTGCCTTTTCCAGACTGCCTGGGGCTTTCTGCGCGACGGACACCGGTGGCTTCAAGAAGCGTGCGGCCTGCATACCCTGTTGGCGTTGTAGTACAGAACGACAAGGTATCTGTTGCAGACGTTGAATCCTGACAGGTGGTCGCAAGCGTTCTTGGCGTCGAAGATGTCTTCGTAGACCACGTAGGCCGTTCCTCTGGTCTCAGGAGTGTTTCCACTGCCGGCGAGATCAGTTTTAACGTTAACCAACGGGAAATAGTTCTCTTAGTCTTTAGCAGTGACCAAGATGAAATTAACTAATGCAACCTCACTAAAACCACCACTTTTTGGTATTTCTAGATACTGAAAACACCCGATTTCCAGACCAATCCTCACAGTTCAGAGTCGACAGGAAAACGTGACAGAGGCACATGGAATCACAGACTGGTTTGGGTTGGAAAGGACCTTAAAGATCGTCTAGTTCCAAGGCCCAAACATGCTGCACTGTGCTCCAAAGGAAACTCGACCCGCTGTCACAACTATCACAGGCTGTTGCTTAGGGGTGGTTGTAAAATTGAGATAAGAACTAGTTACTAATTAAATCTAAATTAATATATACAAATACTGATAATAAGCAATTAAAATAATATAAAATAAAACATATGATGCAATATGATACAATTCCCCACCACCCACTGACCAATGCACAACAGGTGCTGAGCAGTGGGAGTCAGACCCAGAGAGCCCGAGCGCTGCAGCCCGAGAGCGATCGCAGGCCGAGGGCCACAGGCCGGGGGCCGGAGCGATTCCGAACGAACCCTATCAGCGATAGCAGCCCGGGAAAGCTAAACAAACCCACCAACTCCCTCACAAACCAGCCAGCACAGGAGTTAGCGAAGCAGCTAACGCAGGAGTCAGGGTGAAGATTAGCAGGCATACGGGAGTGAACCGGAGAGAGTCAGGGAGGGAGAGTAATGGCTCCCGGAACCCCTCCTCGCCTCTGTCCCCAGCATGACGTACTAAGGCATAAAATACTCCCTTGGTCAGTTTGGGTCAGGTGCCTGAACTGTGTGTCCCTGCACTGCCTGTAGCGAGACCGCGAGAGCTGGGAACGCAGCTGCAGGGTCAGTGTGTTTACATACTTGCATCCTGTACAATTAAAACAATTAAGCATACTGTGGATTAATTACCCATCCCACTCACAGAGCATGGGGAAAAGGAGTGATACAACTGACAAGGATACGTTCTCTGAGATAATCAGCAACCTCGTCGAGAACTCAAGAGATGCTGCAGGTTATTTTGCCAACATCCAGATAAAATCAGTACTTAAACTGCCATATGAAACTAAAAAAGTCTCAAACCTGCCTTACTAGGGTTCTCAAAAGCCCTTCCTGAATTCCAGCTTCAGCCCAGCCTTTTGGCTAGAAACTCAGCAAAACATAGCACTGACCAGATGAAATTATGGTTTACCCACAGCATTCAGAGTGTACTCAGGATGACAAGGAACATCAGAGCTCGTGTCTTCACCATTTGAAACAACTAAAGAGAAGAACCTCAGATTTGCTGCAGACATGTATAACCTCAGGGCACGTTAAAACAAAGTAACAGTCAGATGGCCACTATCCATGGACTACACCGCTCACGGACAAGATGTACCTGGTGCACAGGGAGCTACTTCTGGTATCTGTTTCTGGTTGACAGGTCCATAATAACATCGCTGTTTCCCTATTAATTACCTAATACTCATTAAATATGAAAGCTGGTTGTATTCACCCTCTGGCCTTCCTTATTTTCACCTTTAGTTAAGGTGAAAGGGTAGCTGCATTTAAGATATACTTCATGACAGTAACTCATATTTTGGCCAACTTACCTAAGTTCGCATCACATTTAAGCTTCTTCACCCTACCTACCAGCAATATTATTTTCCAATTCATTTACACGTAACAGAAACATAACACCCATCCTCAGCACTCAGGATACTGCTAAAGTGCATTTAGCTTTTTCAGCTGTGAAATCCAGTTGTTTCCTGCTCCAACGGGAATACTGCCACACAACGATGTACTAAAGCACATGAAATCCTTAGCTTTTTAAAGGAAACTAAAATACTTACACTCTGATTTGCCGAATAGGCCCGTATTTCCCAAAAATATCATACATTTCTTCCGCTGTGATTTTATACGGCAGGTTCCTAATATAGAGGATCCGATTCACTTCTGGAGGCAGCCGGATCTGAGGCAGAAACAACATACAGTGTGTTAGATCTAAAGCCCTCACTTCAACCCTCAGAAGCAGCGGCAGCCCACGTGCTAAACCTCAGGGCTAACAGCACCGAGAGGCTCCGTGTGCTTCACTGGTCCCTTTTTAATGCTCCACAGCTACAGACTTGACCGGTTTCTGGCAAACGAGAGGTCTGCCTGGAGGGGGGCGGGCTCACTTGGCCGCGGATGAGGAGGAAGGAGCCCCGGCCGGGCGGGAAGGCCTACTCTGGGCCGCGGGTTGGGGAATCCCTCCGCACCGCCCGGGAGGGCCAAGGAGGGCCAGGGAGCGGGCAGGGGGGAGCACTCACGTTGGCTCGCTTGGCCGCTTGCATCGCCATGGCGCCGGTCGGAAGGAGGGGGCTATGGCCGAGGAGAGAAACACCGGCAAGCAACGAGCCTCCTCCGCGGCGCACCGCTCGGTCGGGCGGG